GGGGTGGGGCCCGGGCCGGGCCGGGCGGCCGTCCCGGCACAGGAGAGCGGCCGGCGGGCCTGCTCCGCCTGGCCGGCGACTCGTGCAGCCAACAGCTCTAGGCCGGCGCTTCCCCGCTCTCCTCGTCCCGGAACCTGCTTGTCAACATGGGGGCTGGTTCCCACCGGCTGCCCCGGGGGGTGCAGCCGCTCGCAGGCTGGACCTTTTAGCCCCCAAGGGGAAAGTCTCGGCTTCCCACGTTTTTCAGGTTTATTCACGAGCCTTTCATGTGTTCTGGTAACCCACTCTTTCGGGGGTCACGACCAGTGGGTTGAGAAATGCTGCTGTAGGATGGATGAGCCCTTACCTTGGTACCTGAAGGCACAACGTGTGTCTGTGTGTGTCATTGGGGAAAATTGCTTCCCCTTCCACTGGCCGGTTAAGTGAGGAGTTGCGGGGGACCATGAGCAGCCTGCCCTTCATAGCCTGTGAGATGTTTTCAAGTACTTGGGTGTGAGGAGGGAATCTTTCTCTAGCAGCAGAGGTTTCTCATAGTGCCATCCGCTAGACTTTTCTATGTGGGTTGGTGTTTTTCAGTATTTGCCCATCCTAAACCAAGTCACTCCACAGCTTTCATAGGAACAAAACCAAACAAAAATGGATTGTTAAATGTTTGATTGGTAGTAAATCCTCTCTGGAGTTCTTTGTATTGTTCCTTGAATTAGATGGATAACACTAGTGTTGGTTTCAGAGCTGAAATCCATGATGTGGTGACAGGCAGACAAGGTTCCTTGGGTGAATTTGATATCTTTTATTAGACCAACCCAAATGGCTGGAGAATAGTTATTAAGCAAGCTTTCGGGTTCAAAAACCCTTCGTCAGGCTAAGGAAGCTTCAGCAGTTGGTGTGCGCTCTTCCTGGATGGAATGAAAAGTAAACCAGGCATTCATTCATGCTAGCACATGCAGAATCTGCTTTCTCTCTGCCCCTTGGGACATTAGACTTTTCCACCAAAAGGTAACTTTTTTTCATGGAAAGTCCTGACAGTGTACCTGCCTGGCACTATGTACTCCGAGCTAGGCAGAACATGGCCTCTGGCTCTGCTGTGTGCTCCAGCAAAACCAAGTCCTGCAATCACTGCTGCTGCTGAGAAGCTGAACTGTTTAGCCCAGATCAGTGTGCTACTATACCTTTCCAGTTTCTGGCATTGGGGCTAGAGTATTCTTGCACAGAACCCCACTGTACCATGGAGCCATCCCCTTTAGCGGTTAATCTGTACCAGGCACTTGAGCATTTTCTTCTAAAATCATTGCAGTGCTTTTAGTTGCGTCTAATGTTTTGGCAAACTTCCAAAATCTCATGTCTGCAGCTTTGGTCTTTTATTGATTGTTGGTTTACTAGTGTATGTTTCAATTTTTGTGGATCAGCCTGATTTTGGAGGGGGGTGGGCACCAACACTGGCAGAGAAACTGAATATTCAGCTTTACAAAATGCAAGTACATATTCAAGCTCACTACAAAGATGAATTCTTTTAATTCAGTAAAAGAATAAGGATGGTCAAAGACTGGATCAGGATACCTAGAGAAGCTGTCATATCTCCATTCCTAGAAACTTTCTAGCGCAGGTTAGGTGAAGACTTAGCTGGGATGACTTGGAGACAATCATGCCTTTAGCAGCAAGCTGAACCTAGATGACCTTCTGAGGTCTCTTCCATCTCTACTTTCTTATGATCGTAATTGCCAGTGTGTTTTAAGTGCTGAGATGTCTGTATAATGTGATACTTTTAAATTGCTTGAGAGAGGTAGTATTACGAGTTGGGGTTACCTTTTTTTTTAATTTTATTTTATTTTTTGACGAGTTCATTCTGAGTTTGTTTATTTCAAACTCTTACATAAAAAATGTTCCATTTGTGATGCTCTCCAGTCTTACGACCAAGTGCAAGATGCTGTTTCTCTCTTGTGCAAAATTGTCTGTGTTAACTTGGGAGGGGAGGTGTAGGGAAGGCTGAAGAACGCCCATTTTTGCCCTTAGTGTCAGCATTTGGCCCAGCAGTTAAATTTAATACAGCTAATACGCAACATGCGATATAAGCATCTGTCTCCTGTAGCCGAACTGACTCTGCAGTAATGAAAGCAATAAGAAGGATCTCACTAATATAAGCAGAGATGAATCTACAAAGAGCATAAATACTATTTTTTACTACTGAGCTGAATAAAATATGTATTTTTAAGTCTAATTTAGCTTGCAGGAAATCTAGGATTTGTAGACCAAATGGGGAATTCTGTCTCAAAACTAAACTAGTTGGCTTTATTTTACACTGGTCTAGCATTTGAACAATACTTCAGTAGCTTGTTTTAATAAGCAGAGCATCACATTTTTTTTTTTTAAACAATATTTTAGGTGTTACGGAGACTTTTGAGGTGCTAAGCCTGTTCCTATTTGGCGAGAGAGCCATTTCAAGTAGCAAGTCTATACAATTCTTTACACAATGTTCAATCTTATGGATGCTTAGCTTGGGTTTTGGGAAAGAAGAATTGGGTTAGTACAAGTTGGGAGGAGTTATGCATGTGGCTTTCCCAAATCCTGAGTCAAGCAAATGCTAGGCTCACCAGTGATGTGCAGGAGAAGAGTTAGAAGACTTCTCTAATACATATTTGCTGGGAATGGTACTTATGGGCTGTTACATACAGCAGGTAGGGATTGTCATAGTATAAACATCCTGGCCAGGTCCACTTCCTCAGCAAGAATACCTTCTTATTTACCAGTCTGAGTAATTGGGAGGTAGCTTGGCACCCTACACTATATAGGGCTGTTTGTTGTAAAAAGGGAATTGTAATATACGGATAGATTTGGCAGAAATTGTAATATCTACTAATATCAGTGTTTATTTTTAAGCATTTATTTCTATTTTTATCAATTTTAAGGATTGTGCAAAACTAGAGGGGCTGGGGGCAGATAACTTAGTATTAAAATTAAATGTCCATAAATCAATAAAACATCCCTTTTATGTAGCAGTCCTCATTAACAAAGCAGTATCTCCTGGAATTCAGAACCACAGAGCTCTGCAGGAGTTTGGTGTGCACACAGCAGCTGCTGCAGGAGCTGGAGGCAATGCTGGTAAGGCTATGCTGGGAGGGAAAGTTGGAGGGGCAGAGCTGGTAGCAGCAGGAAGCCCAGTGCTGCTGGCCACTTGCTCTGCCTAGGTCCCAGCTGGTACAGGGGCCAAACACTCACTCACAGAGCCTAGCCTCTGCAGGACTTTTGCTCCTGCCCTGATTATAAAGGGGCTGGATGAGGCTCCACAGAAGATCAGAGCAGAGGCCAAACATGTGGGGGCCTGGCTGGCTCTGTAGGTGTTTGACCCCTCTGTGATTGGGTTGGGGGCCAAAGTCATGCAGAGCCCAGCCCCTGCACCAATCATGGAGGGGCTAGGTTCTGTGGGAGTTTGGCCCCCTGCTCTGGCTGGGATCTGAGTAGAATGAGTGGTCAATGCCAGTGGACTCCTTGTTGCTACCTTCCCTCCCCCCACTCTCCCAGTACAGCCTTACCAGCATGGCCCCCAGCTTCTGCATGAACTTCCCTACCTCTGTCCTAGATTTCAAGTTGTCTTCATAAATTTTGATGATTACAGACAGAAACACTTTTCCATCTGTCTGAGTGTCAGGTGAAATTGATTTAAAAATTGAATCCTGTCAAGCGTAAAATGGATATGAGCCATGCTATTCCAGTGGAGGAATATAAAATGTTCTTCTGGGGAACTGCATGTTGCCCATGGAGAGCATCATTCTGTTCAGGCCAGCAATCTTGTGCTCCTGGTTCCATCATCTAAGATCATGTGCAGTAGTAGTAGTATTTAAAATCTGCTAGTTCTGTGCTATTTTTAGTGTTTGCATTTCACTGAATTGCAAGCAATTGGAGAGTCTTAACACTAAGGGAACTTCTGGCTCAGATGCAATAAACATCTCCTTTTTTTTCTTTCTTTCTTTTTTTTTTTTTTTTTCTTCCTTCTGTTTGCAGTAAGAAGAAATTTAGGATGTCCAAACATGTACAACGATATAGAGACCATGATACAAATCCATGTATAGTGGTAAGGTGGTTCAGTTGCCATACTGTCTGGATATGTATAACTTAGAAATGTGAAAGCTACCCAAATATTTGATCTGGGGAGCAGAATTTGTATTACAATTTACTCACTTCTAGGAGAAGCATCAGAAATAGTTGAAAGTTACTCTGAAAACTGCAGATTCAGGAACGAGTTGCGATTCGGGAAGGGAAAGTAACATAGTGGTAGTCTATTTTGAAATGGTTGTAGTCAAAATTGGGGGGGGGGGAGGAGTTGAATCTCAGTGGGATGGATTCATGCATCTCTTAAAACAGGCTTTTAAATGGGGTCCATCTTTAGAAAGAATTACAAATAAAAAAAAAAAAAAAATCATGTCTGCATGGTGAAGTCATGGCTTAGGACTTGGTTCTTTTTGGGAAAGCAGAGGTTTACCCTGAATATCCTTGGAGCAAGGAAACTTTGTAAAAACCGTTAAGTAGAGCATTCAGTTAGCTACTTATCTTTATTTTGTATTTATGAGTAATTTGGGGACTCTTAAATTTTAAAAGGGGGGGGGAAAACAGTTAAAAAGTATAAAACATTTCTTTCCATCAGCTCTTAAGTGTGACGTGTCTCCCATGTTAAAGGAAACGGATGCCTCTAGAAAATGCATGGATGACAATAACTACAAAAAGGATATGTGTACCAATTACTTTATAAAATACAGAAACTGCAGAAGATTTTGGGTAAGTGTCAAGTAGAATCAACTCCATTGTAAGCATATATTTTTTTTTTTACTTAGATGTATTGTTCTATCATTGATCTAATAAATTGTGTATAATTTATATAAAATTATATTACTATGTACAGTGTATATACTATATATAGTGGTAATGATGTAATATCCTAATTAGTGATCAGTATAACAATATTTTGTTATGGTTTTTACACTTATAACTTAGGGTCAGCTTTGTAACCCAAGCTGAACATGGTTCAGCCTGCTTGAACTACATACAATTCCAGTAGTTATTTACTAACATGTATTGACATTTTAGTGTTTTCACTTAAGTGCTAAATGCTTAAAGAAAAACTGTAAAGTATTTAGTAAAACTGCATTAATGTAAGTATGGAAAATGATTAGCATACCTTTTTTAGGTGGTAAAGTAATAAGATATATAAATCTTGTACTGCTTCACTTAAATGTCTGCATATTTAAGTGGGTAGAGTTTAAACCCCTTGTAGGTCACATCCACATGTGCAGGCACAGGTGCTTGGAGCAGTGGCACAAACTTTGTGCCTCGGTACACGTGCCTGAACATGCACTTTGATTTGGGACAAATTGTGCCACTTAAGGCAAACAGACCCTGCCAAGCTTGTCCCAGAAGCCTTGCTCCCCCTGGCTGAAAGATGGGGCTAGCATCTGTGCTGTCCCCAGCACTAAACAAAGCTGCTGTTGCAAGTAGCTCAGGGATACTTGCCCTCAGGAGCTTCTGAGGCCCAGCCAGTTGATATCTGGGGGCACTAACCCCAGGAGCCAGCTGGACTGCTGAAACAGCCCTAACTTCGAGTGATCCTTGCACCTTCTATACACTGTGGCAGTGGAGGCTGCTGCTGCCTGCAACAGCATCTGCCCCCTTTGTCCTGCAGTCTCATGGCTGCATGACTGCTGGACTCATATGGGGACTGCACAGCTGCCTGGGCTATGGTATAGGCACTATAGTAGAGCCACCTGCACATCTGGGGCAGCTGCCAGTGGACCATGGCTGCACAGTTGGCCTTCATGCAGCACTGGTGGCCTGGCAGAGCAGGAGCACCAGAAGACCTCTAGGTAGCTGTTGCCCAGAAGATGTGCTCATTGTGGTGGCCCACTTTGAACTGTTGAAGCTTGTCCTTCTAGCCCCAAATGGCCTGGAGGTCAACCACCTCATCTACACTCCATCTGGGTTCCTGGTGTTGGCTCTAGGTAGGCTCTGCTGCCTGGGTCCCACCACTTGCCTCACCAGCAGGGATCCTGGTGTTCTGTTTAAAAATTGCAACTTCACTGATTGTTTTGTTTAAAACAAACAAACAACCCCCCCCCCCCCCCCCAACACAACACTAACTTTTAAACACA